CCTCGTAAAATTGATGTAATATCGTAATTACCTGAATAAAGCCAAGTGCCGGGGACCTAAGTGGTCACCTTAATATAAAAAAAAAATAAAAAAAAAAAAAAAAAATTATATGCAAGTTCATATTTAATATCTAATAATGGTCTTTTTTACAATAAAGAAAGTAGGAGTATTATTTTATGAATATATTATTTTTTACTTTTCTTTGAAGGCCTTCCACTTCTTGTTTTTTTATATACCTCATTGGCTTCTTGCTAAAGAAATATTCTAAATTATCATTATTAGCATCATCTGGAGCATCTTCAATATAGGTCCTTCTATCTTGAGTACTATTCACAACAATTGTTCTAGAAAATCCAAAGCTAAATCAGACAATTTATTTTTACTTTTTTTGTTTTTAACAGTCTCAGAACTAATATTAATAGAAGTAGGAGTTGGAATTGGTATTACAGATTCACTGATAATGGGAGGTGGGCTAGTGCACTATTTAGAAGATTTTGACATTATTCTACAAGTCTTTTTGATGTTCATAAGGTAGTGGAATCAACATCATCAGTGATTAAGTTAATAACTAAATGATTATTTGAAGCACTCAAGGAAGTGCTTTCTTGCATATTCAGGAGTAAAGAGACATTGGTAGATATAAAATCAATATCTATAACCTCGATAATAGTAAGATCAGAGGTTACATGATAAATAAAACCAGATACAATAAATGACCTGATTATCTTAATGCTGTTATTAGTATGTAGATAGGTGAATCGAGGTGAATTGGTGGAGAAAAAATACTTATAATTTCATGTGGACATTCTTTAAGCTTGTAATTGAGTTATATTGACAACTCGTAGCGTCAAAGTATATAGAATCACCTAATTCTTTTAGATCGTGGGTTACCTGAATAGGAAACATGCAGTGAGGAGTGCTAAGCGGGATTTTATCAGCTTCAAATACATGTTTAGAATCATCAGTCTCAATGATACAGGTGGAAAAAATAGTAATATACTGTTCAAGATTTTCTACAATAAATTTACTTGAGAATATCACAATATCCCCTACAGAAAATTCAGTATAAGGTTGATCATAAGGATAAAAATACTTCTAATGAACGATTTTAAACTCATTTTTCTCCATCTGATACTTGCAAGACCCTGAGTTAGAGAAGAGAAGTTATCTTTTGTAATTATAATAGCGATAAATGAAGCATGTGAAGGTATATTTAACTGTATTAGATGAATTGAAAGAATATTAATAATTTAATAAGTTGAATATAATTGAATTGAATTGAGACAAAATATTTTGCATTAAATAAAATAATTAAATTAATTGATAATTTTACAGCAAGTGCTTTTGTTATGGGTATTTATATCTTTCAACACATAGTATAATATAGTAGTAAAGTATATTATAAGCATCATGATAGTAATGCTTTCGATAGATAGATTGGCAAGTGCATCTTGATACTGGTTTTTTTAAAAAATAAACTAATTTTAAAGCATGTTTAAAATCAAGATAAAAAGATTAAAATAATAAAATAATAATAGAAAAATACAACATTTTTATGATAATAAGTATACTAGTAAAATACAAAATAAGCAATCAAATTAATTTTGAAAATAAAAATTATATACTTTAATAAAATCACATAACAATATAATATTTTTTATTCTAACAAGATAAAGCATCATGTTAAAGGACATCTTTAGATAAGAAAGTAATAGAGAGGTTAAGGAAAGGGAAAAAAGAAAATAAAGATAGTATTGTGACTAAACAGGAGTCTAAAATAAAAGGAGAAATATGTAATGATTGTAAGTTATAATTTAACATACTAAAGATATTTTGGAAAGTTAAATTTATATGTACAAGATAAAAAGGTTCAACTAAACCAGGATTAGGAAATAAATAAATTAAGTAGGAAAAAAAAATTTAAGCGATATAGATAAGAGATGTTGTGTAAATAAAAGTGGAAACAAATTAGAATTATCAAAAAAGAATAAAGTAGGATATTAACTAGTAAGGGAGGGTTTTAATAGGGGTATAAATAAGAAATGTAAAGTTAGAGAAAAATAGAAGTATTATTAATTATTTACAAGGCATAATTTAAATAAACAAAATAATACTTATTGTTGTTGAAGGTACAAGTAAATAAATATATAAGCGAGTAAATGTAAAAGTTGTTTATGGTCAGGATATTTGGTGCATAAGCATTTTACGGTTTAATCTATTAATGATAGAATAAGAAGAAGTAAATCAAGAAGCAGTATAAATTAATTTTTTTTGAAAATTGTATAGCTTAATATAAATAATTAAGGTATACGAAATATATAAAAAAAGCAAACAGATAGAATAAATTTTGGTAATAGGAGCGAATTGATATAAAAATTTTTTAATCGATCAATTGGAGTTAGCATTAAATCGTGTATTTATAGATTTGAGTATTTCTGTGGTTAAGCTGTTTCTTATATAATTATGTAAGCAAATATATAGGTGTATTTTAAGCTTAATAAGGGAAATAATTTATGTGACTCGAATTGATGATATAATTTTTAATTTATTTATTGTAATTAATTTATTTACGGTAATATTATGCATGATATAAAATAAGGAGTGTGGGTATTTTTTTGAGTCTATCAAATTAGCAAGATGGTTTAATATTTTTGGAAAGGTAATAAAAATGTGGGTAGTGTTAAGCGTTCAAATAGCGATAAAAATGAAATAATAAGAGATAATAGAGGGTATGAGAATTACAAGGAGTTATAAGTTGTGTAAACCTTTTTTATGTATAATAGCTAATCATTTATATTCTTCTAAAGCTGCATTCAGACTTATTAGAAATATAGAGTCAAAGGTTAATATATGGAAACCCCCACAGCAAAACAAACCAGTAGGCAAAAAAATTTTTTTTTAAAAAACTCAATTTCTCGAAGAATTGAAGTATTAGAAATGCAATTTTTATAAAATTACAAAATCAAAATTTTTTGCCCACTGGTTTGTTTTGCTGTGGGGGTCCCCATATGAAGAGTTTTCTTTGAATTGGCACAGCTCATTGCAACATATACCTATCCTTCAGCAAATACGGATTCGTCTGTGCTAGTAGTGACGTGAGGTAAGGTTAAGCACTGTACTTTGTGAGTGGTAAGAGTAAACGTATTTTGGAGAGAAAATTGTTGTCTTGAGGCGGCTTAACCATTAATATAGAAGTATGATGTTCCTTTTTGAACTATCACTTTGCTTACACCTTCAGAAGTAGGAAAAGTAACTTCAACATTATGATTATCAATAAGCTTAGTTACGATTCCAATAGTACTATCATCAAAAAGTTTGTTGTTTAAGAACACTACCCTGGCTCCTACTTGTAAATATAGATAGTTAGGTAAGTTAGTCATAGTTTTGAATTGAGAAATAGAGTGATCAGGTTGTAATGATTAAAAGTTTAACGGATCATTAGATTCTGAAATTATAGGTTCACAGGAGGTTTGATCTAACGGTAGATAGTGACAAAGTAAGTGATTTATATTATTAGCAGCTTGACAGGTGGGTACAATATGAGTCGTATCGAAGAATTTAGTAGGGGAAATATGAGGGTTTATTTTAGATGCAATAATGGAGTAGTCTATATTAGATAATTTTCCAATAAGTATTTCTTGTAGGACATTATAGAAATCTAAATCATGACATTGTCTTTGGGTGTAGTGAGAAATAGTAGAAAAAATCAAAGCCATGCTAGAGAATGGAAAACGGGAAAAGGACATATAGATGGAAGTTGAGCCAAGTCTCCTACTATTAAAGTTGGTAAGCCTCCAAAAAGAAGATTATTATTGTGAATCTTTGCAAAGATGTCACTAATATAAGTAAATAAGTCAGCATCTACCATGGATATTTCATCAATCACAAGGAATTTGATTTCTTTTAATCTTGATGTAGCATCAGAATTAGAATAAATTAGTGTTTTATATTAATTACTCCAAAATCTTATTTTTAAAACAGAGTGAATAGTTTTTTCACCAATATTTTGTGCTATAACACCAGTAGGGGCTATTAAAAGGTATTTTTTTCTTAAGTGTTAAGTAATAAATTAATTGAAGGAGTATAAATGTTTTGCCTGTTCCAGCAGAGCCAGTTAAGAAAAAGTAAGGGTACCTTCTATTAGTTGCTTTACCCCATACATTACACAAAAGATTATAGGTCTCGTATTGTTTGGTGTCAAAAGAGAGAAGAGAATGAGAATTAATAGGTGGGGTATGTCTTTTTAAAGAAACAAATTGATTAAAGATCAAGGTGGATAGGTCATGATTTTTGAATTCAGATATAAGTGAATGTATTAGTGAATAATATACATCAGATAAATTATTTTTTTGTAGAAGGTGACTATGGCAAATAGAATCTGTCTCAAAAGCAAATCTAATAGGAAAAACAGAATGAAATCTGTCTCTATATGAGGTAAATCTGCTTAATGATTCTTGTTTAGACCTAACTAGGAATTTCATAATGAGATGTTGAAAAAAAAAGAGTTTACCATCCTCTATTCTGTAGCTAGTAAAATATAAAAGAACAGGAGTTTTTCTCTGAGAAACTATTCTATTCTTTTTATCCTATATATAAAACAATTTTGAATTTGGACTAGGCAACTTATATCTAAACATGTAATTTCTAAAATAATCAGGGTTGGTTATTTTTTGAAAACAGGCAAGGTCAGGGCAGTTAAAGTACTTGTCAATAGCATCATCCCAATAAGGAGTTTCACTATTATTATCAACATCATCATCATTGTCATTTATGTTATGTAAGTGGTGAATTGGTTTGACAGATCTTAAGCGTAATTAAGAGGAGGCAGAAGAAAGGTAATGTAAGAAATAGAACAACTTGTTAAGGGGAATTGTAGTAGAAGTATCATTAACTCTATAGTGCCTAATCGCCTTGCTATAATATGTTTTCTATAATCATTAGCTTCGTCAATATCAAATAATTCGGAGGGCTCTGCTTTAGTAACATATTTAGTAATATATTTAGCAAATCTAGTAGAGATAACATATTGAAAATTAATATGACAACACCATACTAATAAGGTTTTAGAATGATAAGGAACTACTATCCTGTCTTCATCTTTAGTATGGCAATAAATATAATATAAAGAATTCTGTGAATAGTAAGTTCTATCAGACAAAGATTGAAAAAAACCTTTAGAACATGGAATTTCTCTAGAAATTTGACTGCCACACCTATAGTCACAATCATATATCTGGAATTGTAATACTAAAGCATATAACTCAGGCTCAGAGACTGGATCAGGAAGGTTAGCACGAATTGTGTTCAAGGAGATTAATTCTGGAATTTTTTTTTCAGTATATGCGAATTCATGAGTATGTATAGATCCATGGTTTTGAAATTCATCACGTTTGAAAAAATGTTCCTATTTACCCCATCTCGAAAGTGATGGATTTTTCTAAAGTTTGTTACGAATATTAGTCAGATAGTTACAGTAGAATAGGTAAGTATGCAGAGGATGATTTGTGGGTAGAGTGTCTCCATTGTCAGTTTGACGCAGTATCTTGTGTAAGTGAGGCCATTTATCCTCAGGCATAGTTATTGTATAAAATATTTGTGGAAGACCATAAGAATTTAACATAGTATTAACTTGATACTGTTTTTGTTGAAAAAAAGGAGCGGCAGTACAGAGATTTGAAGAGATAGTAGTAGTTTTAGTTTTATTAATAAAATTATGTGTACTATAAGAGCTTACAGCAATCAAATCAGCTCTTGTTGAGTGATTCTTATGATTAACTTTTTTAGTTGATAGTATGCGGTGATGGTTTTGAAAATTTCTTTTTTTTTCTAAGGTTTTGTATGACCAATAATGCCAATACCAATGGAGACGAAAGCGAGGATCAGGACAGAGTAAATGTAGTTTTATATATTTCCTGTAACTATCGACTAAAGGTTGAAAATTTAGAAGTAGTTTTATGTTTTAATAATGACCTTGACCATTAGGAAATAGATCAGGAAATATTAATACTTCTAGATTAGGATCATCAAATAAGAGAGGTTTATTGGTGCCAACTATTAAGCTAGCTATTAGGCGACTATAATATGTATCTTCATTGTGAATTTTTTGAGGAAAAGAATTATTTAGAATAACCAAATCAGGAGGACGGAGTAAGTTATCAGAGAGATTACTATAGTAGATATTGGTTAATTAATTGGCACTTTGAAGTGATTGGCAGGCTAATGGTAGAGGAAGGGAAACAGGTGTTGTTGAAGAAGGGTTGTTGATGGATATGCTTGATGCATATTTACGAATAAGAGAATTGGTAAGTTTGAGCCAGTTTGATACAGGAATTAAAGAGTTATGAAACCAATTTGGAGGTTCATTAACATTTAAGTAACAGCTGCTTAATCCAGAATACAACTAGAGAGTTTGATAATTATGAGATAAATTGATATTTCCTTGAAAATGATAGTAATTCATGTAGCAATTTTTACTAGCAGAGCGGCCTAATGAGCATTGTATAAAACAGGTGAAAGGTATTTTCTATGCATCATAGAAACATCATGTATCTGAGAAGGAATCTGAGATAATATTGGAGGATATCAGTGCATCTTTTCATTCTTACACCCATTGCAGACAGCTACTTGCCTAATATTTCTACTATTTGTTCGGGTATGAATAGAAATAGAAAAAACTTGAGGCATAACGTATGAAGTATTTTCTTCATAAGGTACCCATTGCATAGAAGAGTTAAGCATAA